TTTGGGGCACTGGCCGGTGCTTAATCCAGTGAGCCACACCAGCCAGGTCAGGTTTTACATTTTTACTTCAACTTTTTATTTGAAAAACTTTAGTCCTACAGAAAACTGCAATAATACTTCAAGAATATACTTAATACCTTTCACCTGGACTCACCAGTTATTAACATTTTGCCACATTTAGCAGTACTTTCACATATACATTTTTTCCCTGAACCATACAAAAGTAAGTTGCAGATACCATGATACTTTACCCCTGAAAAGATTTAGTTGCATTTTCTAAGAATAATGTCCTACAGACTGCAGTACAATCACCACATTTATTATCTAATATCCAGTGCATATTGAAAATTTCTCAGGGGTCCCAGTAATGACCTCAGTAGCTCTTCTTCAGCTCTACCTCTGGTCCAGGATCTAGCCGTAGATCATGAATTGCATTTAGTTGCCATGTCCCTTTAGTTACTTTCAAGCCATAAAAACTCTCCAACTTTTTGTTTGCATAATATTGGTATATTTGAAGAGTATAGGCCAGTTGTGTTGTAGAATGTCCCTCAATTTGGATTTGTGTGGTCATTTCCTTATGTGTTTGTTTTTTTCTTTAAATTCTTCACCTCCCCTCCCCCCGCCCTGGGACATTTTCATATGCTTTTTTAGGGAGAGAGAGAAACACTGATGCAAGTGAAGGAGGGATTGGTTGCCTCCCTGTGCTACCCAGACTGTGGATCCACACCCAGACTGGGGATCTGCGCTGGAGCCAGGGGTTGCTGGTGCCCGAGCCCTGATGGGATGAATTTGCAAACTAGGCATATGCCTTGACCCGGAATGGAACCTGCAACTTTTTGGTTGTGGGAGGACCCTCCAACCACTGAGCCACGTTTTCCAGGGCTCCTCATGTTTTGATACAGATGAAATGTTTTGGCAGGAGTAAGCATTGCATGTTAATATAGTCAAATTGTCCCTCTTTACAGTTTGTGTTATCTTTTATGCTAGAAAGCCTTCCCTACCTTGATGCCATAAGGCTTTAATCTCTATTTTCATCTAAAAGTTAAATGGTTTTACTTTACATATGTAGGTTTACAAATGGTATTGTTATTTCTTAGCCTACCTCTAATATGGTATTCATTTAAGATTTGGGTTACACATTCTTTTTCTGTCACATTTTTTTGTCATAAAATTACTCTCTATAAATTCATGAGGACAGGACAGTGTATGTTAGATTCTAAATTTGGGCCAGAACAGTGTAGAAAATAAAAATTTAGACTTATCTATTACAGTCTAAATGTTTTACACTACAGATTTCCATTACTTTACAGTTTTTTTCCTAAAGTAATTTGCCCATAAAGATGAATATTACATGTATTTTACTAGTTATCCATGGAAAACATTTGGCAAACTTTTTTTTTAACTAGTTATGTTAGAATCCAGTTGGACATGTGTATATCTAGTTTATGTTTTAGAGCTGCTAAATAAGGCAGTTAAAAGCATATAGGTTGAAACAGCTCAACATTCTGTATCAAAATTGTAAGAATTTTGCCCTGGCCAGGTTGCTCAGTTAGTTGGAGTATTGTCTCCACACACTAAAAGGTTGAGGGTTCGATCCCCCTTTGGGGCATGTATGGGAGGGCAACTGATTGATGTTTCTCTTTCACATCAGTGTTTTTCTCTCTCTCAGGTCATTGAGGATGTCCTTGGGTGAAGATTAAAAAAAAATTCTAAGAATTTTAGGATATATCTATGAGTTTAACTGGCATCATGCTCTAAATAAGACCAACCTGTAACATGGAGAGCAAACATTTAGTCTTTCACAAATCTGAAGGCAGTAAATGCCATATTTTTAGCCTTGAATTATTCACTTCTGTAATGGGTTTGATGTGATAGTTTTGTGTGGAACTAAGTTTTCAGGGGACAAAAACACCTACAGATAGTAGATTAGATTTAAGATACTTAGATTAACATAAAAAAATGTGTGAGATTGTATAGCCCTTGACACCTAATGAGTACTCTGAAGTTTATACTCTGAAAGTAAAAAGCTGTTATAAAATTCCTTTAAACATCAAGTACTGGATTGTGCAGAGGCTGCAGGTATTAAACACCATGGGCTAAGGACTGTGTGGCAGCCACTATTCCTAGCACCTTGCACTTATTAATGTACTGAATCTGACCATTTGGGAGTGGAAGAAACTGAAGTGATTGTATAATTTGCTCAATCCTAGAGCTCACTAATGTTGGAGCCAGGTTTGAACCCACACATTGTGGCTCCAGAATCTGCATACTTCATCCCAAGTATAATTCTATGACCTTGGTCAAATTACTTAACTTCCCTATGCTGTTTTCTACTTCATGTAATGAAGGTAATAGTACCTGATTCATACTGTTCCTGTGAGAAGTCAAATAGGTGAAATATGTACAGTGTGTAGAATAACACATTAAAAAAGTGACTATTTAATAATAAATGTTAGCTATTATTATTTTAGCATTATTAAGGCATTGAACACATGCATACCTCTGAATTTTCACCAAATAAATGGACTAAGCCATGAATGTGAATTTATATACAAAAAGGTGGAAATACTGTGGTGATTATTTCTGCCTTCCTGATTTTTCTCTATTTTGTAAGAGGAAAGATAACAGCTAAAACAAAGTTGAATGGTGAGTAGGAGCTTATTTGGTAAGAAAATGAATTAAAAAAAATAAAGCAGAATTTTTTTACCTGCTTTTTAAAAAAATTTCCTCACCCAAGGATATGTTTGTTGATTTTGGAGAGAGGGAGAGAAGGGGGTAGAGAGAGAAGTAGGGGAGAGAAAGGGGTGGGGGAAGAGGGGAGAGAGGATGGGGTGCGGGACACAGAGACAGACAGACATCAATCAGTTGCCTCTTCGTACACACCTCACAATTTGGTCTGTGCCTGGATCAGCGGAATCAAACCCACAACCTTTTTTGGTGTATAGGACAATGCTGCAACCAACTGAGCCACTTGGCCAGGGCTTTACATACTTTTTAAAAAAATGTTCAAGAATCATTACTAAAGGCACAAAGTATATATTGGCTGAAGGTAAAAATTGGCACTGTTATCTTTATGCTTTTGAAAGACCTTAGTTATTTATAGCTGTGTTTTGAAGAAATAGATGGCATACTACATACCCTGAAGCCCAATCTTTTAACATGTTTTCTTTACGTGCTCGCTTACTCCTTTGTGTCAGTAACCATGTGCTGAAGGTCTGGTATTACTCAAAACATTCAGTTAGAAGCAACCTTAATATGCTGGTAAAGATTGAGTAGCATTCTGTGTGGTATGGCAGAGGTAATGGAATTCTCGGAATAACAGCAGTAGAATGTTCAGGAGAACACAAATTTAGGTCTTTTTTGTATAATTTTGAAAGTTTAGGAACATAGAAACATATTTCCTATTACAGTTTCACATTAGAGATTGGAATATGTTGTTGCTTGAAGAAGAAAAATTGTCAAGGCAACAGGTACTGCATTTCTCACTTGACAAGATCTCAGTTTTATTTTTATCAGTGATCAAGGAGCTTTTGTTCTGGGGCCTGATGTTGTAACATTAGCAACATAGTACATTGATCAAGCCAAGAATCTTACGCATTTCTGAACCAAGAGTAAGATTTCATAGAGGTTTCATTTAGAGCATTAAAAAGAACTTGTACAGTATTCTTGCATTCTCAGAATTAGTGTCTGAAAGGCAAAGAGCTCAAGTCTAAAGGTTTGAGAGCTCATTTATTTCTGCCACTGTATATCAGGCTGTTTGAGGAACTGGGGGTACAGAGGCAGACACAGTAAGTCTCACCCTCATGGAGCTTGCATTTTAGAGAAGGGGATTGACAGTGCACAAACTCAAATATGTTCATGTCTGGAAGTGTCAGCGTGCAAAAAAGAAAAATGAAGCAGGGTAAGAGAATAGCAAGTGATATGTGTAGATTAAGTGCCATTCTGTTTCAGTTTATTAGCCGTCTGCATGACTTGGTGTGCAAACTCAAGTTGGCCTTCGATGGGAATATATAGTACAAGTTGGAGCAAATGATGTAAAGAACTCTGAATGAGAATAGCGAAAGGAAAAATGAACAAAACCCCTTTGTCATGAACTATTTAAAACTATTGACTTGCTCATGTGTCAAGGACTAAGGTTATGAAGGGCAGTGTGTGAAGTGTGCCTACTTATGATACCAGGCATGCAGATGGCGGATAGAGCTTTAACTTTTCTTCTTCCATAAAGTAAGCTATTTTAATATGGAATATGCAAGTAAAGTTGTATTTATGAGGACTAAAATAAATTTCAGGTTGGTGAGAAGTTTGGAGAAACCATTCAGCATTATCCTTTCCATTTAAATTTCAGAGCAGTGTTCAGTGTTCTTAGAATGAGAATGATTGGTTATAAAGCTTGTAAGTACCAGGCTTTATATTGGAAACCCAAAATAAATTCCGATGAAGTTTAGTAAAACACTGAGTGTTCATATTTACTTATTGTTATCATTATTATCTACATGGACATACTTACTGACTTCAAAAACTAATATTTGGTAGGACCTCCCCATCACCGAAAGGATTGAGAAAAGCAGATTGGTGTTTTCCAGGGCGAAGAAAACACAAGTTTTTGATTTTTAGCTCATTCTTTAAAAGTTTCTGGGTGTTTGTTTAATAATGTGCGTACTATATTGGATGAGCACACTCAAGTTTTCCCAACAGGATGTTACTGAGGAAGTTTGTCTAAACCGCAGTGCCATGACTATGCCATAATATATTCTGTCAGCGCTATAGAGCAGGGGATATTTCACAGTACTAAACATATTTGGGTCACTAAAAAAAAACAAAAATGAATATTTGACTCAAACTGCCATGTGTATTAAACACTTTGCCAAATATACCTTTGCCACAAGTGAATTATTGACATGAGCGGAAACAGACATTTATAATGGCTTTGCTAACCAGGCTGCAGGTTGCTAACCAGGGTTACCCCACAGTTTCAGTTAGTCTTTGTTTCCTGTTTGCAGCAGTTGCCTGGAGCTGTTGGGGCAGCTGGTTTCCCTTTCTTTGAAGAGGAGGGTGATGTTACTGGTGAGGAGAATTGTGTATCTCTTGCCCATGAATTATTTTTAAAGTGTGAGACTACAATATTTTAAATGCTTAAGAGTTCACTTCAGTTGTTACTCTCGTATTTTTCATGCTGGATGCTTTGTATTGTAATAGAATTACCTAAGTATACCATTATTATTTGAAAGGAATTAAAATTTTAGAGCTATTTTTTATTCATTGCTGCTGGGTCTTATTGAAAAAACTATCCTTTAAACTTGACACTATAAACAGGTGACAAATGAAATAAATGTTTACCTTATCAGAACTATTTTTTTTCCTGGTGATGAAGAACATTAATTTTATTGTCACTGTAGCTAAGCATTAGGTAGACTGTCTCTGGATAGAGTTCAAAAGTCTGTCATAGTAATGCTGAGATGTATTAGGTAAGATCATAGGAAAACTCATATGAAGAATCGTGTGAAGATAATGATTTAAGAAAATCTCACCTTTTACCTTCACATAACTGTGTAGACTTCATGGCAGATTTTATCGCGTGTTAGTGATAATATGGTTATTTCATTGTGTTTACATTTTTAGTTGAATAAAGTTTTGCGTGACTCTTGCTGAAAGTGTAAGTTGAATTTTTAAAATAAGATGTATTTTGTTTAATCCATGAATGACTCAAGAGAGTACTTGGATTTTTTTCTGCAAATAATTTGAAGGAAAAAAATATATGAGGAAAATCTTTTCTTTAATTATTAGCTCTAATTTATTGCGAAAGAGAAAGAATCATGACTTTTTAAAAAATAAAAAAAAACTTTTTTAAAGATTTTATTTCTTTATTTTTAGAGAGAGGGGATGGGAGGAAGAAAGAGAGGAAGAGAAACATCTGTGTGTGAGAGAAACATTGATTGGTTGCCTCTTGCACGCCCCTAAACGGTGACCTGGCCTGCACCCCAGACATGTGCTCTTACTGGGAATCAAACCAGCAACCTTTCGGTTTGTGGGAGGACACCCAGCCCACTGAGCCATACCAGTGAGTGCTTAATTTTTTGATGTAACTCCATACTGCTTTCCCCAGTGGCTGCACCAATCTGCACTCCCACCAGTAATGCAGAAGGGTTCTCTTTTTTCCACGACCTCCCCAGCACTTGCTCTTTGTTGATTTACTTATGATAGCCGTTATGACAGGTGTGAGGTGATATTTCATTGTGGTTTTAATTTGTATTTTTCTGATGATTAGTGACATTTAGCATTTTTTCATATGTCTATTGGCCATCTGTATGTCCTCTTTGGAGAAGGGTCTATTTCAGATTCTTGGCACATTTTTTAATTGGGGTGTTTGATTTTTTAGTGGTGTTTTACAAGTTTTTAAAATAAATTTGGATTTTAACCCTATCAGTATATCATTGGTGAATATGTTCTTCCATTCAGTGGGTTGTCTTTTCATTTTGTTAATGGTTTCCTTTGCTATGCAAAAACTTTTTATTTCCCTTGCCTAAGAAGATATATCAGAAAAAAAATACTGTTGTAAGCAATGTCTGAGATTTTACTGCCGGTCAAAGTAATTTCTTATTTTAAAAATATTTTATTTATTTATTTTTAGAGCTGGGGGAGGAAGAGAGAGAGGGAGAGAAGTATTGATGTGCAAGAGATTTATTTATTTTTTTAGAGAGGGGAAGGGAGGGAGAAAGACAGAGACATCTATGTGCAATAGAAACATCAATTGGTTGCTGCTTACATGCCCCCAACTGGTATTCAAACCAGCAACCTTGCAGTTTGCGGAGTGACGCCCAACTCACTGAGCCACACCAGTCAGGGCTGGACACATTTTAAAATCACTGCCATTTTTACCCATCCCTTCCACTTTTATGTTTTTGTCATTATTATTATTATTATTTTTATTTTCTTATCCTCATCGTTGGACATATTTATTGATTTTAGAGAGAGGGGAAGGGAGGGGGAGAGAGAGGAGAGAAACATCAATATGAGAAACATCAATCATTTGCCTCTCATACACACCCCAACTGGGGGTTGAACCCATAACCTAGGCATGTACCCTGACTGGGAATTGAACCTGCTACCTTCCAGTGTACAGGAGTTACTCCAACCAACTGAACCATACTGGCCAGGGCAATTTTTGTCATTTTTTCATTCTTTTGTGCGTGTGTGTGTATCTGTGTATGTCCCTTAATTTATGTTGTCATTACACATGATTTTCCTACTTTTTGGCTTTTAACTTTTGTACTAGTTTTGGTTCTAAACTAGTTGTATGTCTTTTGTTTTTGGTATGTGTTTGCCTGTATCTGTGAGAATTTTTTCTTTACTGTATTTTCTTATTTATAGTATTGATTTTGCCCTGACTGGTGTGGCTCAGTGGACTGAGTGCTGGCCTGTGAACCAAAAGGCCACAGGTTTGATTCCCAGTCAGGGCACACGCCTGGGTTGCAGCCCAGGTCCCCAGTCTGGGGTATGCGAGAAGCAACCAATTGATGTTTCTCTCATAGTATTGATTTTTTTTCTTTTTCTTAAAGAAGTTCCTTTACCATTTTTGGTAGTACTGGTTTGGTGGTGATCAACTCCTTCAGCTTTTTCTTATCTGGGAAGCTCTGTCTCTAAATGATAGCCTTGCTGTGTAGAGTAATCTTGATTGCAAGTCCTTACTCTTCATCACTTTTGTGCCAGTCCTTTCAGGCCTGTGATGTTTTTGCTGAGAAATTAGCAACAGTCTTATGGGAGCTTCTTTGTAGGTAAATGCTTTTTTTTTTTCTTGCTGGTTTTAAGATTCTCTCTTTTGTCTTTAACCTTTGGCATTTAAATGATGTGTCTTGGTGTGGCCTGTTTGGGTTCATCTTGTTTAGGACTGCACTTTTTGGACTTGTGTGTCCTTTGCTAGGTCAGGGAAGTTTTCATCCATTGTTTCTTCAAATAGGTATTTCATTCCTTGCTGTCTCTCTTCTTCTGGTACCTCTTGTTATGCTTCATGTTGTCCCAGAGGTCCCTTAAACTATCCTCATTTTTTAAATTCTTTTTTTTGCTTTTTGCTGTTATGATTGGGTGTTGTTCTTTGCTAATCTGTTTGAGTTTATCTAGTGTATTCTTCATTTCAGTTATTGTATTTTTCATTTCTAAATAGTTCTTTTTGTTTTTATCTCCTTTTTTGTTTCTTATCTTCTTGTTGAGGTTCTTACTGACATAATCTGTTCCTCCCCTAACTTCATTGAGCAGCCTCATGGCCTATTTTTGAACTCTGCATCTGGTAGATTGCTTGTCTCTATTGTGTTTAGTTGTGTTTCTGGAGATTTGTATTGTTCTTTCATTTGGGGCATATTTCTTTGTCTCACTTTGGCTGCCTCCTTCTGTTTGTTTCTGTGTATTAGGTAATTTGCTGTGTCTCCCAATCTTGGCAGAGTGACCTTATGTAGTAGGTGTCCTGTGGGGCTCAGTGGTACAGTCTCCCTGTTGATCTAACCTGGGTGCTCCAGAAGTGTCTCTTGTGTAGGTTGTGTTTATCCTCCTACTGTAGTTGAGTCTTGATTGCTGTTTGTCCATCAGTGAGTGGGATTGACGCTTGGGCCGACTGGCTGTAACAACTGACCTTGACAGCAGCAGAGAAGCTGCTGTGTGGGGGCTGACCTCATGGAGTGGGATTTGATTTAGCAGCGCTCTGGTGCCTACCAGGGTCCACCCTTTGGGTATTTGCCATGCTAATTTGATGGGTCTCTGTGTGGTCTGAAGTCGGCCACCCGGTGTGGTAGTTCTGGGGCCTCTTGGGAGGGGTTGTGGTGCAGGTCAGGATCAGCCATGCCTGTGTCTGGCCCAGGGGCACCTGGTTGTAGTTGCAAAGTGAGCTATGGTTGGTAGATGCCTGTGGCTTGGAGAACCCTTAGAGTGGTTATACCCTGAACTGAGGCTGGCTGCCACTAGTGCAGGGCTTGGGGCTTACTTGGCCGAGGAACACACGGCACACAGAGACCGACTGCTGCTTGTCTGCAGTTTGTGGACATTGGACAGATTTTAGTCTGCAGTGCAGGCCCAGGCTGCTTGTGTGGATTAGCTTCTCAAAGGTTCAGGCTAGGAGTGTGAATCGGATGGGCTTGGTTGGGTCTCCGAATCACCAAGGTGGGGAGAGAGCCCTATTAGCCAGGTTAATAGAGACTCAGATTTGGTGACCACTTGGGCCTTCAGGCTTTGTGCGGGAGGGCTCAACAGAGGAATAGTGGCACTTGCTGGCCCTTTAGTCCGGGAGAAAGTTGTCCCTTTAGCCTGTGCCCTGAAAGCAATTTAGTTCCTCTCCATATGTTTCTGAATTTTTTTGAGCTATTCCTACTTGGAGCTTAGAGCAAGTGTTTGTGAATCTGTGCTCTTGCCTTTTAAGATGACACCTGTGTCTACAAGAGTCCTCCATCTCATGGGGACTGAGTCCCTGCTGATTTTGACAGACAGCTGTTGTGGGAATTCCTGTCCCTGTATGGGGCTGGGACCTGCAAAGTAAGATGCCCCTTCTGATTCATCCCCTGCACGTGGTTGTGGGACCAGTCCATTTGCATCTCAAGCCCCACTACCAGTCTTGAGGTGGCTTCTTTATAGCCTTAGTTATAGGAGTTCTGTTCAGTGAGGCTGGTGGTTCTCAGGGGTGCTGGTTCTCTAATTTTGTTACTTTGACGTGGTTGTGGGGGGAGGCGGGCATAGCATTTACCTACAATGCCATCTTGACTAGAAGTCCCTGACTATTTGCTTCTTTAGTAAGAATTTACTTCCCCGTAAGTTTTTTAAAGGTTTTATTTATTTATTATTAGAGAGGGGAAGAGAGGGAGAAAGAGAGGGAAAGAAACACCAGTGTGTGGTTGCCTCTCACACACCCCCAACCAGGGACCTGGCCCTCAACCCAGGCATGTCCCCAGACTGGGAATTGAACTGGCTACCCCGGCTATCCTTTGGTTCACAGGCCAACGTTCAGTCCACTGAGCTACACCAGCAGGGGTGCCTGTAATTTTTTAAAAACAAAATTTACTTGGGTAACATTGATTAATACTATTAAGCAAATTTCAGGTGTACAACTTTTTAATATGACATCTGTATACTCTATTGTGTGTCTAGCTGCTTTTTAATGTTTTCTCTTTATCACAGTTTTTAAGGAATTGATTTTGATGTGTGTTGGTGAAAGCCCAAAAAGTCTAAGTTCAGGATTGATTACAAAGAACTGACACATAGCCTTATTCAAATTCATAAGAGCAGCTTACGGTATTTTGCTCTGTATAATGTGCAGCCACATTTTTGGCCCAAACTTTCACGGAAAAAATCTTTTGTTTTAATTTTTTAAATTCAATTTTTAATTTATATTTAGATACTTGTTTTTAGTATTATAAAGGAACTTTAGTATTTATTTTTGAACATTATGGTACAAGAAATTTTATGTAACAGATAATTACTAGACATGAGTGGATACAAGGTATTTGAGGTACTACCCATGTATAATGCACATCCTATTTTTCCCTCAAAAATTTGGGCAAAAAAGTGCACATTATACACAGCAAAATACAGTACATACACAGGCAGAGCAGCTGCTTGTTCCCAGTGGTGGCGGGCTGAGAAGAAATCCATTCCCCTCTCAGGACAGTGTTTTTTTAATAGGGGGTTAATAGTAAAACCGTATGGTGGGTAGTCATGGTAGACCACCATGAACAACAATGCATTTATAAGTTAACAGATAACATCAGGCAGTTATCACACTCTGTACATTCATTAACCTCCTTCCTTGGGGGCATGACCTTTGGGCGGCATTCCTGCTTTCTGGGTAGTCAGCCAAGCCAGAGGCTACAGAGGGTTAAACAGTCACAGAGGTTAAACACAGTCCAGCATTTCCCAGGTTCCTTTACTGCTGGAGCTATGTTGCATCTCTAACCTATCCTACAATGTGTCCTAGTGTAATTTTCTTGTTTCTTGTGCTTGCTTGGAGTTTGCTATTTTCTTGGATCTGTGGATTTATAGTCTTCATTAAACTTGGTTATTTTTACCCACTATTTCTTTAATTTTTTTTTTTGTCTTCCTTTGTGGCCTCCAATTACATGTATATTGAGCTGCTTGAAATCATTGCATAGCTTACTGATGCTCTGTCAGTTTCTTTTAGTCTTTTTTTCTATTTTAGTTTGGATAGTTTCTATTACTATGCTTTCAAGTTCAGTCATCTTCAGTGTCTAATCTGCCCTTGATCCTATCTAGAATATTTTTCTTTTCAGATACTGTGCTTGTCATTTCTAGATATTTGATTTGAGTCTCTTTTTTTAGTTTTCATGTTTGTATTTAATGTTTTCAGCCTTTGTATTGTTTGAATTATATATGTTATTCAATTATAGTAACAGCTTTGAGAATTAATTCTATCACTTGTGTCATTTACGGGTTTGTTTCTCCTCGTTGTGGATTATATTTTCTGTTTCTTTGAATGCTGCTGATTTTATAAATTTTAATCTTCTTGGATGCTGGATATTTTTATGTTTATGTGAATCTTCTTGAGCTGTTTTTTGTCATGGTAAGTTACTTGGAAGCAGTTTGATCTTTGCAGGTCTTTTAACCTTTGGTAGGCAGGACCAGAACGGCGTTAGTCTAGATAATTTTGCCCTACTATAGTCTCAAAACCACTCCAACTACTTTACTTAAATACTGTGTAACTAGTTTTTGGGTGATTGGTACAGGAACTATCCCCAGCCTTGTGAGCTTCAGAGATTGTTCCTTTAAATCTTTGAGCTGGTTCTCTTTTAGGACTCAGGTAGTTTTCTCATCACACAATCAATATGCAGATAAGATAAGAGGGTTTACCCTTTGCAGATCTCCTAATTTATTTTTTTAAAGACTTTATTCTTAGAGAGGAAGGAGGGAGAAAGAGAGGGGAAGAAGAGAGGGAGACAAACATCGATATGTGAGAGAAACATCAACTGATTGCCTCTTACACACCCCCAACTGGGGACCCGCCCACAACCCAGGCCTATACCCTGACCTGGAATTGAATCAGCGACCTTTCAGTTCATAGGCCAACGCTTAATCCACTGAGCCACATCAGCCAGGGTAGATCTGCTAATTTTTAAATACAAAAAGTAAGAGGTAGACTTCTGTGATACTGTTTGAGATTTTTGAAAATTTGAATGTGTCTGAGGTCTTAACACTAAATAAATTTTATTTTCTATGCTTTATTTTATTTATTATAATTGCTGTAGAAATTTGGTTAGAATCTTTCTTTAATGGCATGACTATTCTGGGATCTCTTAATTTATCACAGAATACAAATTTCACTTCTGAGTGTTATTTAAACTTATGTAAGGTAATAGTCCTGGTCCACTCTCTCACCCCTACCGAAAATGGAAAAAAAAAAAAAAATCATTGCAGTTCAGTTGTAACACTTGACTTTCAAAAATTCTCCTTTTTTGGTTGACAGAATAGTCTGGATTTGCTACATGAATTTTTTAAAATAAAAAGTCTTCAGTATATTTAGATTACATTATAATAATCTAGCAAATAACTTCTCAAGTTAATTTTATACTTGAATAAGATTTTATCTGGGCTCTTTTGTAAGTACCAGTGCTTTTATTCTATAAACACTGTTTGAAAATCTTAATTACTTAAAAAATATTACAGACCAAGTACATGAGCATATCCAATAGAATTGAAAACTGGCATTCAAGCAAATACATTGTTAAATAAATGCTCATAGTAAAGCTATTTATAATAGCCAAAAAGGTGGAAATAGTCCAAATATCCATCAACAGAAGAATGGATAAACAAATTTTATGGTATATAAATACAGAGGAATATTTATTATTCAGCCATAACAAAGATGAAGTGTCTGAGACATAGTACAACATGGATGGAACTTGAAAATATGCAAAGTGAAAGAAGGTTGATACAAAAGGTTACATATTGTATGATTCTATTTATGTGAAATTTCCATAGTAGATAAATCCATAGAGGCAAAATCCAGAGTGGTGGTTGTCAGGGGCTGAGGGTTAGGGAAAATGAAAAGAAACTTCTTAATGGGTAAAGGGTTTTAGTTTGTAGTGATGGAAATATTTTGGAACTTGATAAAGGTGGTGGTTGCCTAACATAATTAATGTACTAAATGCCATTGACTTACTTTAAAATAATTTTCTTATGAGAATTTTGCCTCAATAAATTACTTAAAAAGCTATAAAGATGGTTTATTTAAAAATTGACTTAATGTCATAAATGGTTAGCATTTTCAAAATTGGAAATAAATTGGGTTGCAGATGTTTTCACATATATTGGTATTTTAACTTTTGTCAGTTACAGGTAACATTCAGTATTCTATTAGTTTCAGGTGTATTGCATGATAGCTAGACATTTATATAACTTAACAAAATGATCCCCCTGGATAATAAGCCTTGTATCCACCTGGCAATGTATATAGTTATTACAATATTATTGATTATATTCCCTATGTTGTACTTTACACCCTCATGACTGTTTCATAACTGCCAATTTATCTTGCTTAATCCCTTCCCTGTTTTCTTCCAGTCCTTCAAGCTTCCTTCTTTTGGCAACTTGGTATCTATAAGTCCATTTGTTTGTTTGTTTTAGCAAAAACAAAAATGTATGTTTTATTATCAGAGACAATGAATTAAATCAGAAAATACAGATAAATACAAAAGAAGTTATAAAGCATAATAAATTTTTTTCCAGAAATGGAAGAATCACCCCAAATAGTTTTAGGTATATGTTTTAGTAGTAGTTAGTGTCTAATAAGAAAGTCAATTTTATATGTTCTATTTAGCTGTATTAAATGATTTTTAAGTTTAAAACAGGAGATAATTCTGATCATTTTTAATGTTGGCACTCAAAAACAAAGATATAGCAGAAAAGACAAATAAATGAGACACAAAATGATTTGCAAAATGTAGTAGCTTATGAATGCAGATTCCAGTTGTAGTAATGGTGACACACACATTCTCGCAGCACACAAACACACCCCAGGTCCCTAGTAAGTCTGTTTGTTTTACCAAACATTGGTACTTTAATAAAATGTTATACTTTTTATGTTTAAAAGGATATTTTCCATTTTTAAAAATACTTATTTTAGAGGGAGGGAAGGGGAGGGAGAAAGAGAGCAAGAGAAACATCAGTATGCAAGACATGTATTGGTTGTCTCTTTTCGATTGGTTGTCTCTTGCACACCCCCCAACCAGGGACCCAGCCTATAACCCAGTCACGTGCCCTGACTGGGAATCGAACCTGTGACTTTTCAGTTCTCAGGTTGGTACTCAGTCTACTGAGCCATACCAGCCAGGGCAAGGATATTTTTCATTTCTTATTTAAAATTATTTACAGATGAAAATCTTAAAAATATAAATAAAACCTAGAATAGTGCCTAGTGTTAAAATATTTAAGGTAGACACTTAGCTGCTCACCTTGTTTTAGATGTTCACTAATGAGATGAAATGTTTTAGTTTATTTCTTTTAGTCTTTTATACCAGCTGAAAAATAATTTTTATATAAAAATGTAAAAGTATGATAAAATTAGAAATCAACACAATTCATTATTTACCATTGATTGAGCTTGGTATGTTGATCAGGATTTTAAAATTGTTTACACATTTTGAAACATGTAAACTGAAAATTATATACTTCCATAAACCTGTGGTCTCAGTCCCTTTTCTAGAATTTAGGATTGAAGTTAGTTATGCTTTATTATTTTGCAATGATACATATGATCTTTCTGTATAGAAATCACTATATAAAACAATTTTCTAAATTTACATAGTTTAGATGTGTCAGTATGTATTTTTAGTATATTTGCCATATTCAGTATCCTTAAATAGATAATTATATCAGGCATTTGCAAGTTAGAGTTTTTCTAATTAAAAAAAATCAGTTATTAGCATATAGGTGCCAGTATTAAGCTTACTAAATTATAATACTGATTTTCTTCTCTAGAATTCAGCATACCATTAAAATGACAACCTCCTGGAGTGACCGGTTACAGAATGCAGCAGATCTGCCTGCTAACATGGATAAGCAGGCCTTGAAAAAGTATCGGCGAGAAGCCTATCATCGGTAAGTATTTTGTGTTCAAAACAACTATATAAAGTGAGCACATATTATTGTCATATTTTTAAGAGAAATATTGGTTAGACTTTTTTAAAAAAAGATTTTATTTATTCTTAGAGAAAGGGGAAGGGAGGGAGAAAGAGAGGGAAAGAAACATCAGTGTGTGGTTGCCTGTCATGCGCCCCTTACTGGGGACCTGGCCCATAACCCAGGCATGTGCCGTGACTGGGAATCAAACCAGCGACCCTTCTGGCAGTCAATCCACTGAGCCACACCAGCCAGGGCTTATTATTTTCATTTTACAGATGATGAAATTAATGTACAGAGAAATTAGGTAATTTAGTTTATATAGTGAGTTAATGGTTCAAACCTAGTCCAGAGTCTACCAGGAGTATCCAACCCATGGGCCGAATGCGGCCCGGAATGGCTATGAATGTGGCCCAACACAAAACCATAAATCTACTTAAAACCCTTTTTTGTTCATCAGTTTTTGTTAGTGTTTGTGTATTTAATGTGTGGCCCAAGACAACTGTTCTTCTTCAGTGTGGCCCAGAGATGCCTAAAGGTTAGACACCCCTGGTAGACTTTTAACCACTAGCATACCATACTGCTGCTCCTGCTGCCTTTCTTTGTCTATTTCTCACTGCTGCTTAATAAAAGTCCTTAATAGCAGAAAGTCTTCAGCTGCTAGAAAATTGCACCTTAATAAGAATGAAATTCTTAATTGATATATACCATACCATAAACTGATAATAATTTTTGCTTTGATATTGAATGATTTTGAAAGTTAATTATTATATTAATAGTTGGCTTTTAAAGTAGACTGGTGACATTTGCCTGATGGTAGATCACTCACTATGTAGCTTTTGAAAAATTTTATTTACCAAAACATTAAAGTTTATGTTATTAAAAATAATATAAGGACAAGTATTATAAATACTACTTATACTTCATAATAATCTTTGAAAACTTATGTCAAGAGATAGTTCAAGATGAAAAATAAAAACCAGCTTTCAGAAGTAAAAAGCTTTATATTCAAATCAATTAACTTGTGGTATACAGAAGCTTTGATCACTTTTCTGGATAACCTTCTTGTCAGCCTGTGTCACATTCTTGGGAGGATGCAAATGGTGAACTCTCAACATCCCGGAATGTGCTAATTTTTGCACTTTTGAATTTAAAACATGTGTACTGGGTTTTTTCCCCCCAAATTTTAAATAATCTTTTCTGCTTTTTTCTTTTTGATTTTTATGTTCATTGGGAATGCTCATAACTTCTACATTCTCGATTTGGTGTGGTTAAAGGGGTTTTATGTTTTCTCACCATTCAAAACAATTTCAAGCATTTGCTGAATGGGTTGAACAACAGCTTCATACAGTGGAAGTCATCCTTTTTCACCAGCTTCTTCCAGTGAAGATTTATATTTCTCATACTCCTGGAGCTCAAGAATGTGACCTGAATTAAACATGTGGGCTGACAATAAATCTCTGTCTTGACAAGGTAGAAGCTCCAGTCCAACCCACTGTTGGCAGTGTACTCATTTACCTTGTTTTATGGCTCCCAGTTTTCTGTTTTGATCACTTATTGGTGCAAGTCTACCAAAGAAAGAAAAATAAGCCATATTTATACTGGTGGTATGCTTCAAAGGAACCAAAAGATTTAATTTATATTGAATTTTTGTACATAATTTTAATAATCAAGATTTAGGAAATACAACTGATTTTATCTGCCTTAAAAATGTAAATGTGTAAGGTCAAATGTGGAGTGTATTTGTGACACATTGGATGTAGGAACATTTGTGAAGGTGACAGAATACAAGGTTATAACTCTGTCTCTGAAATTAGTTCTAGGCTGTGTAAAAGAAGTGGACAGTTGGAGTCAGTCAGGAGAACTGGGTTCAGGTTTTGTGACTTGTGATCCTGGGGAGGCCATTTTGCCTCTCTGGGTGGTTCTTCATCTGTAAACAGATGGGATTAAATAGGAAGATCTCTAAGGTTTCTTCCAACTTTAAAAACTCTAGGCTCGCCCTGGCTGGCGTAGCTCAGTGGATTGAGCGCGGGCTGTGAACCAAAGCATTGCAGGTTCGATTCCCAGTCAGGGCACATGCCTGGGTTGCAGGCCATGGCCCCCAGCAACCGCACATTGATTTCTCTCTCTCTCTCTCTCTCTCTCTCTCTCTCTCTCCCCCCCTCACCCCCACCCCCCCTTCCCTCTCTAAAAATAAATAAATAAAATCTTTTAAAAAAAGGTTAAAAAAAAAACAAACCAAAAACTCTAGGCTCAATAAATGTTTCTTGCTTTGAACTTAATAATTGCTTACTTGGGAGCTTATGATCCACAACTGCATGTTAGAGTCTTTTAAAACAATTTTAAAGATTTTATTTACTTATTTATTTATTTAGAGAGAGAAGGGAGGGGGAGAGAGAGAGAGAGAAACATCAATGTGCGGTTGCTGGGGGCCGTGGCCTGCAACCCAGGCATATGCCCTGACTGGGAATCGAACCTGCAATGCTTTGGTTCTCAGGCTGCGCTCAATCCACTGAGCTATGCCAGCCAGGGCTAAAATTTTTATTTATTGATTTTAGAGGGAGGAAAGGAGACAGGAAGACAAAGCGATTTGTCCCACTTAGTTATGCATTCATTCGTTGATTCTTATATGTGCCCTGACTAGGGAGTGAACCTGCAACCTTAGCACATCAGGATGGTGCTCTAACCCGAAGGTGGCAAACACAAGGCCCACCGGCCGAATGTGGTCTTCCACCTTGTTTTATCTGGCCTGGCACTTTTTCCTACTGGATGGCAGCGGGCAATGTTAGAGTCTTTAATCAACTGATCTGCAAGCATTTACTGAACTAACTCCTACTAGTCACTGGCTCAGGTCATGATATCAGCCCTCCTGACAGTTCTCTAGTGTGTGTTTATTCAAAGGAAACAGGGTATTTCATAACAAATTAATCTAACTCTATCAAATAGAAACATCTGCTGGCTATGTAGCATTTCTAGATGTTTAGGCTGCTGTTATTCCTTAAACCCTGAAAAGGTAAAAACATTTCAGGTTCCCATAAAAGTGAAGACTCAAAATCAGTCAGTGGTACTAATGATTCTGTGCAGTGTGTGAGACATGCTGCTAGATATGCATGGGAATTAAAGTGAAACAGTGTTTACATGTATCCATATGAAAGAAACGTATAAGGTGCATTTGGAAGAGATTTATATGGATGGAGGTGTTTTATACTTGCTATTTAATTATTTGCTCTTTTTTTTTCTATAAAGTATACATTTGGTTACGATGTGACATCAGTGGAAACAAGGGCTAGAATTATGCAATGAAGTGAGATCATGTGGTATAAATACCAAATGTCCTAATTGTATTTAATGTCATATCCTGAGTGTACTTCTGACTCATTCGGAATGATATTTCCTGGAAGATTTTAGACAGTCTCAGTGCTCAACGTTCTTCATATAGTAGTAAACTCTGAAATAATATAAGTAGAAAAAGCACCTTCATAGATTTGAATTTTTAGATCATTGAAAACTTTTTTTATTGTAGTAAAGTATACACAACATAAAATTTACCATCTTCACCATTTTTGAGTTATTGATGATATTAAGTACATTCACATTGTGCATCCCTGTAACTTTTTTCATCTTGTAAAATTGGAACTTTATACCTATTAAACAATAACTCCTCATTCTCCTTGCTCTCCAGCCCCTGACAGACAACCCCTATTATACTTTGTCTTTATGATTTTGACCATTCAGAGTACTTCATATAAGTGGAATCATACAATATTTGTCTTTTTGTGACTGACTTATTTCACTGATCATACAGTTCTCAAGTTTCATTCATTGTAGCATATTGCAAAATTTCCTTTTAATATAAAAAATGAGTTTTTGAACTCTTGTAGCTGTTTGCTTTCATTAATTAAAACTTTTAAATTGAAACTATTTAGAAGACATTTATTTTAGCTTCCTAGTTAAGTCAATTTATAGAGTATTCTGTTTCCAGGGCTTTTTATTAAAGACATTTATTGTGGATGATAATTTATCATTGGCTCATTTAGGTAGACTATGTGAACATTTATGATAAACTGTACGTTGTATGTGATGCCTTAGAATTCACTTTCAGAAGAAGGTAAATATTTTTAGTTAAGCAAATAAACATCTAACTTCTAGCTTTTTTCTTGCTTAATGTTTGTCTCTTAAATTTCAATATAGAAATGTTGGTCATGTGTCATTATTAAGAAACCAGCCTTGAAAATGTATGACTGTTCTTCCATTTCCTTGTTATGGCTGTTGAGTCTTCTTGGCTGGTTAATCATCAGGCCAAGCCCTTCATTGCAATATGTTTTGCTATGTGGTCATGAGATAGGCTGAACTGCTCAGGTGTTACAGTGGCTTGAGTGGAGGAGGTTAGACCTCTTAAATTGTTCCTTGTTTAACACCTGGATTCTGATAGTGATCAGTACAGATCAGAGCCTGTATCTACCAAATCCAAGAATGGAACAGTTTCATTTCTCATCTGCTTTCCACATTGACTGTGCCCACGATGCTGAAGTCAGGTATTTGGTTTTACCTTTTAAAGTTTCAATGATTACAGTATAGAAGAATTTCTACAAGTGAGTTGGCTCTTTCTTTGTGAAAACAGCTTATGAATTCAGAAGTGGGGGTTTTTAAGTCATGTTGAACTGAAAATTGATAGTAATTAGGCTTGTGAATTTTTTATTTACTAGTCTTTTGCCGTATTTTAAAAGAAATTACAGCCACTTTATATTTAAAGTTCTTTGTATACTTACCTGAAATAATTTTTAATTGAAATTTAGGTCTCCAAAGCCATACCATCTCTATTTAAACCTGTTGAACAATAGTTTCTTCTCCAGCAAAAAGAAATTTATTGTATATGCTGAAGGAATAGAAAGGAATTTGAATAAAAATTATTTTGTAGAACCTGCAGCTTGATGCACTAGGAAAATTAGAAATATTAATGATTTTTTTAACCTCAAATT